AAATCTGGAAATATACTCTGCAGCTTCAAGGATTTTTAAATTCAAGACACAGTCAAAACAAACAAAATATTTTCAGAAAACACTATTTATTTAATGTACCACACTCTAGAATTGGTATATTTCACATAGAAAACTAAAACAGTTTATTAATGATTGTTAAAAAATTTTTGTTTGCTACAACACAAGTATTTGACATATATCTAGTTTAAAAATATGAAATATTCATGAAGCATCAATATGAAGCAATTGATGCTATTGCTACACTAAGGTATGTTGTCATATTCTTTGGGATCTATTAACATCAAAAGTAGGGGTTTGAAAGTAAGAAAGTTCAAGTAAGAGGGTTTGTATGTATTTTCAAACTAAATCATAGAGTTACTGTATTTTAAAACACCCATAAGCATCACTTTAATAGCTCTCTAGGTCACATTTCCTTCCCGTTGCAAAGCACGGGTATAGCAGCTTGTAATCTTTTAATCCTTTAAATCTGTAATAAACCTCATTTAAAAATGTTTATATCTTCTAATTCAAACATGATAAAACCAATCTCAATCAATGTCTTCTTGTATTTAAGAAATATTATTTAAATAAACGTTCAAATAACTCCATCAGGTGTAACCTACAAGTACTAAGAGGTTAAAAAGATAACAATAACTTACAATATCAGTACTGATTTTTTTCTTTTCAGGCATGAAGGAGATGATACTGTCTGAGAAACTACGAGGCGGTTCACGAGTACGGGGTTTCGTGGCCCGCGGTTATCGTTGTTCTCGGCCAATTTTAACCGACGGCCAAAAAATGGGTTCACGACATCGAGCGTTAGCCAAGAACAAGCTTAGCCGAGACCAAAGCTAGCCGTCGATCAACAGCAGGGATTCACGGGGAATTATCGTTGGAAGGTTGGCAATAGCCACAGAAATGAGCTACCTGCTGCAGGGCCGCTGCCCGATGCTTGCGGTCGACGAGCCCAAAAACAATAGGATGATGTTGCGGGGTGGGGGTTTATAACCCTGTTGACAATATTGTTTCACTTGTCACTCATCCCCCGGCCCCAGGTCCTCAGTTTGTCTGAAATATTAGTTGAGGGTGGAAGTTTTGGCTATTCTAATTTTGAAATAACCAGTTTTTTGTGTTGTGTTGTGCTGTTAGAGTTAATATTGAGTTATAATTTGTTTGTTAGTTGTGTGCAGTGTAATTTTTTTAGTTTATAACATTTGATTAGATTTTATTAACATTTTATTATTTATTCACTATCATTTTTTTATTATTTTTATGAACGTTTTCAAATATGTCTGATGCAAAGAAAAATCGAGTGAACTTCACAAAAGACGAATTAACATTGGTAAAAAATTTAGTGCTACAACGGCCCATAATAGAAAAAAAAATGCATGACCAGAAGACGGAGTCGTTGAGGAAAGCCGCGTGGATTGAAGTCCACGACTACTTCAACAGTGAGGGGTTGAACATCCCGCGGAACATAGAACAGTTAAAAGGTGCCTGGAAGCGTGTTAAAAAGGAGTATAAGTCACAAAAAGCCGCAGAAAGAAGGAGCATATTCAAGACTGGAGGAGGGCCCCCACCTCCACCAGCAGATCAGGATGACAAGGACATTGAAATGGACGAACTGTTCTCAGACCAAACGCCACTAGAAAACATTCCAGATGACGATGACGACATCGGTGTCGGTAAGACAATTGGTTCATTAATAATTATAACTATACAGGGTGTTTACTGTTATTTTATAAAAAGAGCTGTGGACCTTCAATTTATTTTATACTAAAGTTACTGGATTAATCTTTGAATTATTAATTATTTACTGAAAACAGGCCATTGAATCGAGAAAATGAAATTATGCCAGTACTGTAATAAAATTCATTTAAATAAATGTTGGTAATGTTAGAAAACTAAAATTAGATCACCGATTATGTCAATATAAGGTTAGCATTTTTATCCAAACATTTAAATTATTTCATAAAATGACTATTATTTTCAAAGGTTTATGATTATCTTTTATGTGTCAGTAATTTGTTTACAAAAATAAAGTTGAAGGAACAACCGGCTATTATGGGAGTCGGGATGCCCGATATAACGTAAATGTTTTTGTTGAAAGTGATTGTAATATAAGTGCAGTATATTATGTACTTACCGTGTATAGAAGTGGAATTTAAAAATCAGATGGTGGCAGTAGACACCCTAGTTCACACTCTTTTCAATACCTCAGCATGTAACTTCTCCTTATTTCACTGCGTTTACTCAGACTTTTAAGCATGTGATATCTTAGGTGTAAGAAAACAGGTTTTAATAATAAAACATTTGTTTGTAATACAACGTTTTGTATATTTGACTAGGTATGGAATTTATCTTTTACCTCAGCAAAATTGAAGCAGCTTAAGGGAAAACATGATAAGCCAAATATTAAGAAATTATAAGAATACAGTTCTTTAAAAACTCTTAAATCATAAACATAATAATATAACATAAACATAATAATGAAACAAAAACATAATAATAAAACATGAACATTTTAATATAAAGGTATAATTTAAAATTGACGAAAAAAATGTGGATACTTAAATACGTAAAAAATAGGTAACAAAATTCAATTGCAATGTACATTCATATATATATGTTAAGCCATTAATTATCTTTTACTTTACTAATTTATTAAAATCTTTCCAAAGAAACTTTTAAATTGTGTTGTATTGTTCGGATAATTTCTACGCAACATTCACGCTAAATTTTTGTATTGTGAACTATCTGGCCTTAACTTTTCAGGTTAAACAAACGTGCGTCCAACGTTGTTAATATTGCTATTAATCTAATAAACATTACAACTGAGACGGGTTTGTTTTTCTCAGAAGATCGTGACACAATCCCATTGAGTGCGAGGGTAGCGACAGCCTCACCCGCAGACTCCCTCGCAACCCCCAGCAACTCCAGGGCAACGACCCCAGCAGCCGTCTCTAAAAACAAAACAACTACTAGGAGGGTGACAACATTCGCGGAAGAATATCACAAAAAGCGCATGGAACATTTGACACAAGAGCACGAGCTCAGGATGAAAGTCTTGGAAGAGGAGATGAGCTACTGGGCACTAAAGAAACAACTTGCTCAACCAAATTCTGACCCAGCAGCAAATTTATCAGGGATCACAAGTGAGGCTAAAACGTTCCATCTGTTGGGTGAAACCATACAGGAAAATTGATTCATTGTTAACTGTGTTTTATACATTTCGTTTTAATTAATTTGTTATCAATTACAATTATTTCTAGTAGGAATTATTTGTGAGATTTGTCATCTCATGACTCATTTAAGTTACAAATGCATTGATATTTAGGTTAGTGCATTGACGCTTACTTAATTTTTTTGACCACGATTGAGGCTAAAACTTTCCATCTGTTAGGCGAAATCATCGAGGGAAATTGGTTTATTGATAATTTGTTTGTTTTTTAACAGTTCTTTTTCATAAATTAGTTATTACTTAATTATAATTATATGTTGTAGGTGCAACTTGTGTGATTTTTTATCTCATGGCTCATTTAAGTTAAAAATGTTATGTATTACTCTTACTTAAATTTTTTTACCTAATTATTGAATTATTGATTATTAAATATCTTTAAAATAATATACACATTGCGTTTATTGCACCCCTGATCCTTAGCTTCAGTTTGAAAAGTAACGCTGGATTATTTCGTTTCTAGTTAAGTTGCCTTCAGGGCAGGCTGGCTGGGGCTGGTCATCATCTTCCTCCATTTCGTAATTTTCAGGAAGTGGTTCCAAAGCGTCTTCGAAGATTCTCCTTCTTATTCCAAAATTGTGCAGTATGGCACAAGCAACAATGACGATGCAACAACGGCGGGGGCTAAACCGCAAGGTGTTGTCATTGTGCAGACATCTGAAAAATTGAAATATTTGATCAAAATTTTATCTATAAAATATTGAGTGACAATATACTTCCGTATGATGATATATAACCCCTTTAAACGATTGGGAGTATAAACTTATTTCAAATGTTTACTAAAAAGTACTAACACAAAACAGGTTAAAATAACTCAATTAGATCGACTGAATCTGTTCTAAAAAACTTAAATAGTTTTACAAGACAATGTTTTATAAAAAACATGTTAAATATTATTGTTGTGAACAGTAGTCACGATTTTTTATATGATAAAATATTCCTCCAAATGAGAAGAAATCTGGCAGTTCCCAGTTGTATTGCAGTATTTTACTTCATCAATGGTAGATTTATACTACTCAGCACCTAACATGTATAGTTGCAACTGTTTTTTCATATAATCTGTAGGCCAAACATATATCTAAAATTGAATTGCTAATTTTCTTATATTTTTTCCAAATACCTGAATCTATTTTTTAGTAGACCAAACATTCTCTCTACTGTTGACCTGGTCCTTATTAGCGCTCTTTGATACCGACGCTGGGCTGGAGTTGCAGGCCGTAATAGGGGTGTCTTCAGAAATCTGGAAAAAATAGTTTTTTTCACACTAAGTTGGTAAAATTAAAAGAACGTAATATATATTTCTGCTAAAATTAATGTCATGCTATTAATTGCAAATACAGCATACAACAACTTTTAATTAGGTTTCTTCGCCAGTAGATTCCTAAATGGATTCCACCCTCATCCCCTATCGGTGCAACCGATTCAACAATACGACAAACAATCCACCTGTCCCCGGCTCCTCAGAGCCATAAAAGTGACACCTTGTACTGTTTGGCCAAAGTGTCTGTGCGCGCGACCGGTTCTGGTTGAGTCTAGGTGAGGGGGTTGGCGGGGGTGCTTTTGTGAAAACATTTGTGTCTGACTACTCATTCACTCCTACCACCAGCACTGCCAATAGCCGTATGTTTTAGTTCGGCTAGTAGCGACCCGTCCACACGTACAGAAGTTTTGACATAACTGTACCATGGCTCGCTACTTGATTATTATTACTTATGCAATAATTGAACATATTATATTAATACTATATTAATTAACATTACATTTATGTTGTTACTTGCCTGTTACATTCGTATCCACTGTCTCCGACCAGTATTCCGCCCATATCACGTTCTTCAAATTCTGCATATAGTCTTGAATTTTTCAACACTCTGGAATCATGAGTACTGCCTTTCCATCTGGCAACTATGTTGGTAAATTCAAGGTCTGCACCTGCTGCTCCTAGGACGTTGATAGAAAAAAAACCCTTCCTACATCTATATTCCTCTTTGTCTGGAGTTGAAGGGCTAACAATGGGAATGTGGGTGCCGTCAACACAACTTAAGACGTTGGGGAATCCATACTTAGTGAAGAAGATGGTTTTGGTTCTAGTGGCGTAGTCCCCAGATGGAAATTTAATGTACTCAGCTTTCAGTTCCGAACAAATAGCTGACGCAACTTTATGGACTATCTGACATGCTGCAGATTCAGAAACATCCAGCAGATCGCCTGTTTCCCTATGGAAGTTGCCATCGGCAAAAAATCTAAGGGCAATCAATACCTTTTTCCAATTTGGTATAGTATTCGGATTGGCTCTTATGCCAGGAAAGCCGAGCCTTGGAGTTAACAACTCAATCAATTCATTTACGGCCTCTTTTGAAAATCGGAACCTATCTTTGAACTCGTCGTCTGTCAAATCATTGAAGGGATTATAATCGTGGTAGCGAGCTGGTCGCATGCGAGGTGGTGGTTCAATGTGGTAGTCCAAATAGTCAAGGTAATCCATTGTCACAGTCACTATAGTGAAAAAAATGAAACACGAACTATACACCGCGCACACACCACAACACTGAACAGCACAGCAAAAACGACAGACCGTTCGCGAGGATTGCTTCATACACACTAATAAGAATTAGGGACGTATTTAAGTACCTGCCACGCCGCCACCCCCCTCCCCACCAAAATTTGTCAGCGCACTCCCCGACCTCACTAATATCACCCCAATACATGCCCTGTCAGCTGATGATGTAGAAAAATAATCGGCAATATTGCATGCTGCATCAACAAATCTAATAGGTGCGTTTTGAAATAATTTTATACTTGATCAAAATAGTTTAAAATTTCACACTATTCCAACCATGTCTGAGAAATGAGTGTTATTTTATTCTTTAATGTATGTATCTTTTTTATCCTTCATAATACCATTGTCAATGATAATACATACATAATACATAATAACAGTCCCACGTGTTGAAGTAATTTTAATAATTTAACGCTATACTAACTCGATTGAAACTTAACTGTACTTATTTTGATTTTACCCGATGTTTTGCATGTTTTCAACATAATTAGTAATTAAATTGAAAAAAATAAATATTATGTTGAGGGTAATGAAATTGTTCGGAATTTAATGGAGATTTCGAATATAACATTCTTTTTGCCAACAAAAAAACAATAACCGAGCAAATGAGATAATCCCGACATGATGTCACCTTAACCCTGCCCCCTAGCAGGGTTAAGTTGAAGACCAAAACCATTGTTATTTACGCTCGAGATTATCCAGTTTGCGCTAGACCATGACTCGTGAACCCGACATTTGGCCCGGGGTTTACTCTAATTGAACCCGTGAAGCCGACTTTTTGCGCTCGGGTTTATCCCTGTCATAATTGGGTGAAGTTTATCTGTCTGCGCTCGAGCGCGGGTAACCTCGTACTCGTGAAGCCGATTTCCAAGCCGCGGCGCAAAAAACCGGCTATAACTGGATTTTGCGCTCGAACTAAGGATAACCCGTGACTCGTGAACCGCCTCTACACATTGTATAATTTAAAAATAAAAAGGCTTAATATAAATTTATGTTTTGAGCTACAAGTACTAAGAGGTTAAAATGATAACAATAACTTACAATATCAGTACTGATTTTTTTCTTTTCAGGCATGAAGGAGATGATACTGTCTGAGAAACTACACATTGTATAATTTAAAAATACAAATTCTTAATAAAAATTTATGTTTTGAGGTTTACTTTACAGACTTAAACATTTTGTTGTATTAACATTCTAGTTTTAAAAACTGAGCATCAAGTTGTTTTACTGGTGTTAAATTAAAACATATAGTCTGAAATAAAAAATCTTTATAATTTCTCCTACTTGCCCATACACCTGTGGAATGCTGGATTGTCGTTCCCGCAGGGGATGTAGACGTGTCTACACGACACACGAACGTAATGTCTATTAATTCTCCACTTTCAGTGCGTGTAAACCTTAACACCTGGTCACCGTGTTTTCCCAATTCATAATCGACATTACTTCTTGGCTGTTTTTAGTATTAGTAGGCTATTATCAATTGATTAACCCTTACGATATACTTTTTGCCAATGGTTCTGGCTTTGCACACTTTCCAGATTTCGCTGTCCTCGGTGCCATTTCTCTTTCTATGTATTTATTTAACTTGTCTCTTGGAAGTGTTGGCCAGCCTTCGTATCTGCTGTTAGCAGTATGACAGTTGGTAACTGGTCCTTAACATATGAGAAGATGCAGGACATTTGGCTCATGCAGTTCTTGACATGTTCTGCAATTTCTAGTGTGTTTCCGGTCTTCTGACACATTTCTTCATTTGATTGAGCCACGAACCACTTCAAAATCCGATGTGGTAAGTTTTTGCAGATCGCATGACCTCCTTTTTTTTGTACAATACATGCTGAGGGCAAAAGGTTTGAGCAGATAATCTATAATATATTTTGAAATCGTATTTCTTTACAACGCCCTAACATACCAAATACATGTAGTCAAGTCTTCCTATTTTACCGTATGGAATACCCCATGAGTGAAAATTTAAAAACGTACGTTTTCATATCCCTGGCCTTTTACTTCGTAGATACCGGATTTGTAGTTTATTATTATGTGTTTTAATATTTTTTGGGACGGGGGCAACATGTTACACACATTTATTTGGTTTTAAATAGGTTCTAGGTATTTTTTTCGTATTTTTAAAGTCTCGAAATTCACGACCATGACGTGTCTCTAGGGTACATTTTCAAACTTTCACGCTGTTTTTAGACTAATTATTCATGCCGAAATATATAAAGCCATAGTTTTATGTCATCAATGGTTATTAAACTTACAAAAAAGGAGCATATTATAATTTTATTGTCATTGCAAACTGACTACCACGACAAAATAAGTCTGTCCCTCGATTTGGCGTCACGACCATTTGGAAAAAATTTTCAACTTTGAAACACGACAGTGGCAAGCCTGGCGTCGATGGAGTCAGTTGGTTTTAGAGACTAGTTCGGGGTGTACGTCAGGATTGTAGTCCCGGTCGTTTCGAGTTGAAAGGAGGAATTACAAGATTAATAAAGGAAAGATTGTGTTTTTTGTAATTTTGTTGTGTCCATGACCGTACGTAGTCATTCGATGAAGTAGACATGGTGTTAATTTTTTGTTTATAAGATATTTCAATTGCTAGATTAACCTAGAAGTATGAGGTGCAGGGCTACCGCCAGAACAGAGCCAAATAACATGTAATTTCATAACCAAAGTTTCACGACCATCGCGGGTTTTTTCACGACCAATCCAGCCTTATGGATTATAGTGTGTTTGGTCGTGACAATAACTTTAATATAATTGTAAATTGAACAGTTTAGTTCAATTGAAACACATATTTTTATTATAACTAACAGTATAATTGAAGGATTGTTTAGAAAGATTTAGATTATTCCAGACAATTCACGACCGTACCGCTTGTCCCTGACCATCACGTTTATGATTTCTATCATACAAATTTCAAAAATTTAAATATCGTCATATTTCAATGTTTTATACACAAACGAAGCACACCTCTATACAAACATAACGATTTTTCGGGTCTCAGGTAAGTTTTTTCGGAGTTATACAAACTTAAAAAGATTCTATTGGCTTTTTTTCAATTTTTTGAGTTTTTTTATTTTTTTCTACAAAGACCAAATATACAAAAAAACTCAATGACCTTTTTATTGTATAATGGTCATAAAAGTAAATTAGTTTATAGCAAAACATAGTTATAAAAATAATATTAACTATTTTTAATATTCATTTAAACGTCCGTTATGGTCGTGACAGGATTTTGTGTTTTTCCACTAAAGATACTCTTAAAAAAAAAACTACCAAAGATATTGCGTTACCATGGACATATTATGAAACTTCAAATTTTAATAAAATAAAAAAATAATAAAAGTTTTGAAAAAAGGGGGAAAAAATTTGCAAAGTGCTTTTCCTGAAAACGTACGTTTTTAAATTTTCACTCTCATAGGCAACAGGGGGTAAGAGGTTTCTTCCAGGGAAATTTTTCAATTTTTGATTGTGAAATACCTCTTTTGCTGTCTTTTTAACGAAGAAAAAAGTCAACTTTTCATAATATTTAAAATGACAGGAATTCAGGAAGTGATGTCAGAATTACCGTCGTGTGAAACAGACAAGTTTTTGCTACTCGTGAGACACCGAACATAAAATCACTTGGTCTTTTTTATGAACGGATATACTTTTTCGTTGTTCGCAGGCTCAGACCAGGCCTTATAACTGGTTGATGTCGAGTTGAATAAGAAGGGTTGTCTTCCCACGATTGTGGGGAACAGGAAATAGTGTCCTCTTGCTCAGGCAAATAAATAACTTTTGAAGCCTGTTTTTTTGGCCGAGGAACAAGTTATGGACCTGATTCCTGAGGAAATTAGTGGCACATTTGACCATCGTAGTGTACCGAAATCTGGTAAAATACTAGTTATATTTAGAGGTGGTATTGTTTTTTTTTGTCTTAGACCACAATGCCCTCTTAAATTTCTAGGGCGTCTCCTCTTTTTCTGTAAGACAAATATCGGAGAGGGTGAATCTTTTTCATTGTCAATACCTATCTTAATACTTCCGGTTCTTGGTATTTTTTTTTTCGTTTTTGTTCTTCCAGATCAGTCACGTCTGACCTCATCAAAGCCTGGTCGACTTATCTCGAGCCTTCTGTCGGTCATCTGAAAAGACATACCTATTATAGTTTTTTTGTTTTTTTTTTTTGATACGTTGAGTGAGTTGATCAAGAAGTTGAGGCAGGTTGTGCTGCAGAAAATCAAGATATTTTACTCCCGTCAAGTTTCCTTCAAAGAAATGCGGCACTACCAACACATCACCAACAACTCCAGCCCACACATTTAAACTGAATCGATGCTGGAAAGAAGATTCCCTCATTGCTCTTGGATTCTCTGTTGCCCAGACATGCATATAGTGATAGTTGAAAACTCCCTCTTGATCGAATCGTGCCTCATCTGTCCACAGTATTTTTTTCAAGAAGTGGTACTCTTCGATGTCTCTGTTCAGGAGCCAGCGACAGAACACCATTCTAGCTTCATAATCATTCGGTTCAAGAGACTGGACCTGAGTGAAATGATATGGATGATACGTATTGTTTTTCAAAATTTGTGATACTTTCCAACGAGAAAGACCCGTATCAGCTGCAGCCGCCTTGTGCTTATTTCTGGATTATCTTCGACCCTTGCTAAAATATCTTCCTCTGCAAAAACATTAATATTAGTACCTACCTCTTTTTTGATATTCTTAACAGATCCTGTTTCTAATAGGCGTTGGTGGAGTCTGGTAAATACCGGTACTTGTGAACTTGGAACAACCAACGGAACAACACGGTCAGGATAGCGAATGCCGTATTCCCTCTGGGCCGCCCGCGCGTTACCGTCACAAAATCCACAGATGTAATGCATATCAGCGTACTCCCGATTTGAAAAAGACATAGTTTTAATTTGTTAACTACTTTG